CAGCTCTGGAACTGTGAGCTTGGGACAAACTGGATTGCAGAGGTAGCCAAGGGTCTTGGCCAGTCAAGGCGCTTCACCGAATGCAGGTTCCAGATCCTGTGACCCAGATCTGCAAGTTTGATCCGGGTCTGGTTCCTGGCAGGGCCTTGACCGTGATCCCCATGGAGCTTCTGGAGGTGGGGTAGGAATCAGGGAATCCCCCCCTTGGCTTCCAGCCTCTTCCCAGGTGCCTGCAGTGAGGTCAGTGAGGGACGCCTCCCTCGCTGTGCGCCGCGGCCAGTGACCCGCCGGCTCTGGTGGACGAGACGGTCAGGGGAGCCCAGCCGCTCCTCCGCGTCCGTGCCGACCGCGAGCCGCCGCACGGAGGCGAGCAGGGCGGTCTCAACCGGTGCAGCCGTGTAAAGAGACGCTCCCTGTTTAAAGGAAACAAAATAAACCTTCCTTGCACCTCTTGCTGCCCCAGGATTGACGAGGAGTTGCTGGGCGACGGCCACAGTTACAGCCCCAAGGCCATCCACTCCTGGCTGACCAGAGTCATGTACAACCGCCGCAGCAAGATGAACCCCCTGTGGAACACCGTGGTCATCGGGGGCTTCTACAACGGAGAGAGGTGGGGCTGTGGCACAGCCGGCCGTGAACCCGAGAACCTGAGCCCTGCTCTTGGAAACTAGACTAGTTACTGCAGACCAGTGTATCCCAATCCTTATTTTATGGGATTTCTGACTGAATTCCCTGTCCAGTGCTGAGAGTAGGTACTGCTAGATTGGTTTTAATTTTCTCCTCCTCCTTCATTTCTTCTTGATTCAGTGCGCTCACATTGGTTCTATATCATATTGCAGTATTGCACAAGCCGAACAGTTTTATTTCCTTCTGTGAAGAATCAGCCAGTCCAGGTTGAGTACCGAATGATTGAGAGGAGAACTTCAGCTGATTAAACTGGTGGTTTGAGTAATACCTAAAAGAGAGGCATTGTCTTGTAGTGGTGTGACTTCTCTCTGTCCTTGCTCCTTTCCAGTTTCCTGGGCTATGTGGACAAGCTGGGAGTGGCCTACGAGGCTCCCACTGTGGCTACAGGTTTTGGAGCTTACCTGGCACAGGTGAGTCGTACTTCCTACTCCTTTCTCCACTGGTGCCTCCGAGCCGCTCCTCCTGCGGCCCGGATGTTTATCCGCGGCCCCTCCTGAGGCGGGGGTGTGGAGAGACGCGGGAGAGGAAAGCGAACTTGCACGGTGGTCTTGTCCGTCCTCCCGATTCGAATGTCTCCCTTTCCTGCTTCGGGTTTCAGGTGGGGCCGCGCTGCGGTTGGTTCTGCACACACCTTTTCATTCCGTACTTGAGCTTCCAGCTCATCTCCGAGACTGGAATCTTCAGTTCTCGCGTTTATATAGCCCCTTTCGCCCCAGAGGTATCCAAGGGTCTTGGCCAGTAAAGGCGCCTAACCGAATGCAGGTTCCAGATGCCAGTGAGCTTCGCA